TTCATGTGGGTGACAACTTCATATTATTATTCATTTGTAAGTTTATTGATAATCTGAGCTTGTCTTTAAGATGTCAGCAAAGGTTTAATAACTATCTAAGTACATAATTAAAAATTAATTTTTATTCATCAAAATCAATTATTCACATTTTTGTCAAAATTTGAAAAGTAAAGTTGAAAAATCTTTCAAATAAAGGCTATAGTTCATCATATACTACAGTATTATTAACGTTGGTAAGTGCAATTGCTTTTGTATAAGTCTTTTGAACTTTCAGATAATGAAATGAATTTGAGAAGATTTTCCACATCTTTTTTCTTCTTTTCACTTACATAATTCACTAATGACATAGACTTCACTGTACTGTACACTCCCAGCAGATGGCATCCTTTTTTTATAACTTTAAAAGTACTAGAATCACCACAGTAGGTATCTTTAGCTTCAATGTCTTTATTACTTTTATTTGAAAATGAAAAAATTGTTGTTCATGCAACATGTCAACATGCAACAAAACAAAAAGTTCCCAGTCTGTTCCTAAAACTTTAACTATAGCTGAAGATGCAAATACTTTGTAGTACTCCTCTGGTTCAACTATTGTTTCCTTTCTTCTAAATATTTTTTCGAAACATCCAAATACTCTATTAGGAGTCATATAGCTATGTTCCCTGTTTGGAAAGCAATGCTGAATATCACTAAATGCTCTGGAGGTCTGCACATAACTAAGTTGGAAACCCAAAACACAATGATTTTTATTTTGTCCACTGCAAGCATAAGAAAACAGTTGAAGTGTCAATGATTTCACTGGAAGATTTTTAAACTTGTCTTCCAAAATCCCCAAAAAGTTATAAAGAGCTGAAACTACTTTATTGGAGTCTCGCCCACTCTGGTTTTCTAGTACCCACTCAGTCCATGTGTACACAAAAGTATTAGTAGAGTCTTGTGTATCTTCCATCAATACAACAGTAAGGTTATAAACCAAAATTTGTTGAGAAAAAAATACCTCACCAACTCTTAGTTTTGGAAGATGCTGATTTTGTTTCATGTCAAAAGATACCTTAACTACATTAGCTTTTGTTCTTTTAAGCAGTTCATTAAAATTCTTAGCTCCTAACTTGTGCAATCTGTACTTAGTAATATAGGAAGCTTTTTCTTGAAGGTCTTTGCATAAATTTATTTCACTTTTTGTTAGATCACAAAATGAACAAACATCTGTCTTTGGACTTCCAAAACAGATTGAATTTCGTCTGGAAGATCTTGAAGAACATTGAGTAAGATGCAAGCGACTAATTCTGTTCTTTTTGAGTCTGTTTTCAAATACTACACAATTTTTTAATAGATAACTTAGGGCTAAGGTAACCGTGGACGCTCTTACCCGACCATAATGACTTTCACAGCACTTTAATGATTTTATGAAATCAATAATTGATTGAGCTGTACTTGAATTTTTGGGTTTTGTCCTAGCTCCACCTCGCTTTTCACAAGGACATTCTCCTGACTCTTTTAAAGCTTTAGCTAATTGATTCAATATTTTTGATGAAACTTGTGTGATGGACAGGAATGTGTAATTACACACACTTCATAAAACACCATTTGTCTGTTGTATGAAGTATTTTATAACTGTTCGAGATCCTGGATTTGTTTTATTTCTAGGCCTATGTAGCTTAGACTCTTGATTGAGAAGGTATTTGAATATGAAGTGGTTCTGATCAGCAGCAGTCTTATGTGAAAAGATTTTATCATAAAATCCACTTACATCATTAGAAGTCAATAGATATGTCTTACAAACATCACCTTTATAAGCAAAAGCAATGAGAGGATCTGGATGAGCTTCTTCACTATTTCTTAAGATTTTTTCCCACAGTTCTATATTTTTTTCTCACTTCCTCTTCTTGGCACTATTAATGTCGTGTACAGATACTGAACAATGACTTGTTAAAAAATCTAAACTCATTTTATACTTATAACACACATTTTCGATTATTCACTTGTTTCACCTCAAACAGTCAACATAACAAACAATTTGCTGCAAATAGATGCTGACAGATGGAATCGCGCATGCGTAAACCCTCAACAGCTGACTTAAGCCTGTTTGAAAAAGAACAAGGCATGACTAAAGCACTTTTGGAAAATATTACTGATTTGTAATCTATATAGTATACTTACGCTAAATCAGATCCAACTAAAACCTCAAAATGTGAAAAAATATGACTTAAGTCCTTTTGGAATCCACCTCTTCAATTATTCCCACAACATTTTAAACCATGTAGATACATTTTACAGCATTTATTAGTTGATGTTTACCCTTATTATTCAACTCTTGCCAGAATGATATTGTGAAGTAGATTTATAATAGTTAAGTGCAGTAAAATAGCCTCAATACATTTAAAAATGAGTTTAAGAAAAGTATGTTTAGAGTTTTAAAGGAAAAGTCGTATTTATGTGACATGTATGATATTGAAAGCTTTATACAATTTCCTGTATCTTGGAAAAGTTTTGATATTGCCAGATGTAGTGTTTAAGCACAAAAAACCACACAAAACTATAACGAAGTACATTTTTTAGAAGTTTATCGTTTTTTTTTTCAGTTTTCAGATTTTTCAGAAAATGATTTTATTGTAGACATTTTCTTTTTAGAAATGATACTCAAATAGGAATAAATGGCTGAATTTATTTTCTAGTTAGCCACAGGATATATATTTCTTTATATTATTATCATTATTTATACTTTTTATCTAGTATTTTCTTAATTCCTTCTATTTTTTCTATCCTATATTATAGTTTTTTAAAGACCATGTCAGAATATTCTAATCAGTTATTTCCTAGCTAAATTGACACACTTGCCAAATTACATACATATATTATCTTGTTCTAGTGTAGTTATTTAATGCATGTGCAGTAAAAGACAAAAATTATCACACAATCTTACTCTACAAACGTAGAATATCCAGGCCATTGTTGTAACAACAAACCTTGTAGTTTAGTAAAGTGAAACACAATTACCTATACCATCTAGTCTGGGTACTTTCGCACCTGATGTTTGAGTATGTCTAGCAGCATAACGGGTAATTGCAAAGAATAGGTCCAATTCGGAGAAGATGTGTAAATCATCTTGATCAAATACTGTTAGTATAGTGGTCAACTGTACCTCATCAAAACTACTGTCTTGGAGTACTTCTTGTGTCTGGTTGCATATTATCTGAAAAAATAATTATTTTCTTTTACATAATAAACATAACATCTTTACAATACAGACAGTTGATCACAAATAGTTAACAAAATACAATAGTGTGGACATTTTTCTTTGGTGTGGTTCATCCTGTGCTATTTGTTATCAGAAGAAGAACATACACTCTTCTTTTCAAACATTTTCATTATATTATTGTCGAATTCTTACCTCTTTTTTTTAAATTATATACTTGGTTTTCAATACATATATTGAAAGAGCAATTTTGTAATTTGAACATGGTTTTTATTTAGCAATAATTATTCTACCTGATACCTTGGCCTTATTCTGCCAATTTTTGAATAAAAGTTCCTTCTATCCCATTTATCTGCTATATTGTCATTGCTTCAAATGGAATTTCCCTCATAAATGATCTCTTAGGGCGAGCGCCCACCAAAGTGGCGTGGCAGTGGCAAGTAGCACGCGTCTAGCATAATGTAACCAATGAAAACAAATGATTCAGTTTACCCCAAAATGACAGTAACGTCATTCATTCTAATCATTCGTTAGGATTGGTTACATTATGCTAGATGCGTGCTACTTGCTACTTGCCACTGCCACGCCACTTTGGTGGGCGCTCGCCCTTACTTGTCATCTTATATTCCCATTGTGTGCCATGATCATCAAAATCTGTTGTTTATTTCCCATTTGACAAGAAGTATTGTCTAAATGACATAATATTACACAAAATAACAACTAAGAGACAAATGCTTTAAAAAGACATTTCAAAAATACAACATAGTAACGAGGTACAAAACTTTAAAACCAATAGATTACTTGCTTACCCTTATGCATTTTTCCATCAACATTGGTTCCTCAAAGAGCTTAGCAAACTCGTATGCTCGACATGCATTTTTAGGATATAAATCAGACCATAAATATTTTGTGCATTCCTCAACCAAATGAGGAAGCATGTATTTCTTTGCTCCATAACACAATTCACACGCTTGGTCAAATGATGTAAGATTAATCTTGTCAGTGTATATATACCTACAAAATCACCACAAATTATGGTACATAACATCCACTTAACTGTTTATTCTTACTCTAAAAGAGCCTTAAATGCATCAGGTTGAACATCCAATATCGCGATAGGATCTTTCTCGGCCATTCCTCCGAAAAACATCGCCTCAAACACAGGGCTTGACATGGCAAGGAACAATTTGTGCCCTTCCAAAACTTGCTGATTTGGCTCTGCACCAACTATAAAGCGGCAGTCACTCCACATCCCTGTTTCCAACAAATATTGACTTCTTTCCTTTACCAGCTTCCTGGTAGTTTGCCAGTCGCAGGGGGACACGGGGGCCGTCATTTTATTCTACAATATATAAAGTAAAGAAGAACGAGCCTAACTAAATTGACACTAATTTTAAACTCTAGCTGCTAGACGATTTTAACTCTAAGTAGCTTAATTACAATTAAATCAGCTATTTTCTATAATTAAAATGTAAATTTTAAGTGAAATTTCGCATTTATTTATTAAACTTATTTGGACTCATTTTTTATATATAGACATAATTTGTTTTTGACAACATAGCTCTTCACATCGACAATGACAATCGACAGTGACATTTATTAGTTCCACTATTTTGTAGAAAGTCTGTAGATGGCGGAAAGGTGTCAGTGCCACAAGTTAGGCAATTTTTCGTAACTGACTTTGATTTGCTTTTGGCCTATTTCTGGCATATATATTTTTTTAAATGTTGTTTCATTAAAAGAGGATAGCAGGAAGCAGGAGCAAATGCAAAAAGGATAATATAAAGTAATAAAACAATTCAAGAACATGTATAATGTATATTAAAAATACAGATAGCTACAATATAGATTTATAAAGTACATACATCCAGTAAAGTTATTCCATTTATTTTTATTACCTAAGAAGATTCAGTTAAAACAATTTAAATATGAAAGACTCAATAACAATACTGTATAATTTATTTTCAGATTTTACATTAACTAAAATTAGACTTATAAGAACAATAGAAGGCAAGCAATTTAATTGACAATTTTTAAAACATGCATTTTTAAGTTTAGAAGAATAACTTATCAAAATTAGAATGATAATTGACTAATAACATGAAAAAGTTTTGGTGTTAAAATTGATATGCTGTCTGTCTCTATACCTATATTTGTTCCTCAGAATGCAATTATATTAGCTACTGTAAAACCAACAATGAGAGTTCGTGTACACATGGTGTACACTCCATTCGTAATTTAAATATGATTAATAGCGTACAGCTGAGTTGTCATATCTTATTTAATTCATTACTATTGATTAATTTTGCCCCTTGCTGTAAATCCGTTGATGTTTTGAGAAAGTTATTTTTTCATACTCTGTTTTTTTTTCTCTACATATGTTTGTTATTTTTGGGTTCCTTCATTTAAGAAGCTGTTTTGGATATGTATGTCAACGGATACGTCATATTAACATTTATCATACATCATTTTATTTTAGTTGATGTCGTTTCCCAAATATAACGATATCGAAAATTTAATATTAGCGCCTGAAATTTAGGCATTTTATAATACTTTTTAAACACGTAGCTACGTAGCCAAAGTTAGTGTCATATAATTTCGCAAATTGTTGGTTTTAGTTTACTTCATTATATTACGATCTAAAAATATATCTAACTATGAATAAATAACAAATATATACTTAGAACGTGGAACTTTAGTCAATAGAGTACCGTATGATTACATCTTGAGACGAATACTACCAATGTGTGTCTCAGAAAAGCAAAATATAATTCGTTGTGTCTCACCTTCATGAATACGGCATATCACCAAACATCACATTTGATTTTTATTTATAGGACACATATAAATATACAGGAAAAGCTTAACAGTAGGATTATAGATTACATTTATATAGAAAGTGCATCGATAAAGCTCATAGAGGTAAATATTTAAGAGAAAATGTGATTTGGAGTAGGTTTATAGAAGGGTTAAAGGTTTATATTTTTTATTTTTTTATTCATTGTAAATACAGGGACGAAAAGCTCGGTATGTACAGTCAGTATAATTTAATCTCTTAACTAAATTTCTTTCTTTTTAAGTTATTTTAAATATACGTTCAGGGTATATGGAGTGTTACAACAAATTTTACATCACAAATCTATCAAAAAAGTATATTAATTTTGCGGACGCTTCTTGTTAAACAAATGTAATAACAAAAACTCTGAAGTAATGGGGCGACCTAGTAACGAAAATAAGTAAAAATAAAAGAAAACAAAAAAATTTAAAAAGCTAAAAACAAACAAAAATGTTTGGAAAAACTGTAGGAAAATAAATAAAAAGTAAATTCTTAAATTTTTACATTGCATTTTTGGTACTGACTATACAACCACAGCTCGCAGAATTTAACTAAAAACTGTAACAGAAAAAAAAACGGTTGTGCATTGTTTTGTATTATTAATTTTAAAGTGTAAGTACATAAAAAATTGAATAATATTACATTAAATGCTTAAATCTTTACAATGTTAATACAGGGTAGATCATTTTATCCCAAACAACAATTTATTTTAATAACCAAGGGAATTGTAATTATTAACGCTGTATTAAAAAGAAATAGAAAAATTAATAAACAAATTACAATCACCATCCATTATATAACATGATTCATTATGTAATATATTGTTCACTGACTTGAATCAAAATAACTTTTCCAGGTAAAAAATACATCTTGAAAATAATAATAATTTACGTGTAGCACTTAGAAATCAAAGACTTAGAGGCTTTGTGTGTTTTAAAATTTATTAAAACGTTTACTTTTTGGATAAAGTAAACGTTTACTTTTTGTAATAAAAATTAAATATAGAAATGGTCAAGATAGAGCACAAAGGACTATAATGAGTAAGGCCTATGTCCAGCAGTGGACGTAAAGGGCTGGATGATAATGATGATTACTTTTGGATATATACTGATCTAAAGCAACAACAAAATGAGAGCGGATAGATGAAAAAAAAACAAAAAATAGGGTGGATGAAGTTAACAGTGGGTTCCAATTCAATAGCAACCCGGACGGATCCACCGAACCACGGACGGATCCACAATTCGCTATGAAAAATAGCAAAAAAGCTTGTATGTCTATTTGACCCTCATTTTTTTAACTTTAGGATTCCAAAACCTCTGGATAATTACTTTTCCAGAAAAAAATACACTTCTTGAAGATAAAAAGGTTTTTTTTTATTATACTGATTTAAAATAGCAACCAAACGAGACTCAAGACAAATATAGTGGATGGAGTTAACAGTGGGCATTAATTCAATCGGATCTTGCATGGTTGCGCATTTAGCTTCATAAATACATAAGTTTTTTTATAAGATACGATCAAATTTTAAATTATTTTATTGATAAAAAAAGAAACTGTTGTTCTTTTCATATAAACCATTGATTTTTAAAGAAAAGGAAATAATTATGGGTACGTTTAAATGAGCAACCCTGCGAAAATAGTTAAGTTAAAAAATTAATAAATAAAATCATTAACATTAATAAAAAACTCAAAGATTTTTTCTTTATTTTCAATAATATTTGTCAATATCAACTGTATACAACATTTTGTAAGTAAGTATTGACTATCATAACAAAATATCATATCGAATTTTAGTAAAAGCGTTAAAAATAATTAAAATAAAGAAAAAGTCGAGGCGATTTTTAAAGCAATAACATCTTACAATAAAACAGTTGATACCTATATAAAAAGAACTAAAAAAATATATAATATTAGAGTTATCTACTTCTCATAATACATTTCTTTAGTATAAAGGACAAACCTTTAACTTGAGCTCGTCAATATATCGTATACGTTCTAGCTTAAGCCATTTGTTCGTATTTTGCTTTGTTGATCACCTTAGCTAGGCAGCAGGATAAGATGACGCCTACCAAGGGGAAGAATGCGATCCCAACAGCTGCTCCTGCGACGATACCTACGTTGCCGTTCAGAAATTCGATGATTTTCGTATAACATCCCTAAAATATATAAAAATGTACAATATTTGTAGTAGATTCACATGTATTTTCCACAATATACACATTGCTTAGGGTTTGGTCATTTGGTACTACGTTGGCGAATATTTTAAGAGTTTGATATAACTTCAAAGTTTAAAATTCTTCTTTCAACTAAACATAAACTATTAACAGGGTTTTCGTATTAAATTATTAATGGAAGCTAATAGAAGCATTAAAGTTTACGAAAATTAAGAACTGATAGTGATAGCACAAACTACCTAACAAGTTTTTGATCTTTGATATAAATTTAATTTGAAAATATCAAAGTATCTTAAAATTTGCAACTACAGGAAAGAGCTTAGAATATACAACCGGTATCGTGAAGGTGCAATGGAAGTTGTCATCCTACTAGGCTCTTTAGAACTCATAATTTAATATGTGCACACTTCCGGTTTGAAAGGTCATTTTAACGTACTGCGCTCTCTTTTTCGGTGGCAAAATATATTGAATACGCGTCACCTATTTAAAGCTCCTTTCTGCGTTTGTATCCATTTTTTATCTCTACTTATATATACTTAATCTATGTTTTTATCTTCAAATAGAATATTCCTTACCTGACTATAGATTTGATCTTCTTTTTCCGTGGTACAATTATCTTGAATACAACAAGATTGAGGGATTGGTTGGGGGTGTGGCAAGTCTAACCAATCACGGGGCTGATGATTTCCGCAGCAGTGCAGCTAAAGAGGAAATAAATAATCGGTTATTAATAGATATATTATAGGAAAATGGTCCGTAAATAAATTTGCTATCTTAAAATTTCGTCAAAAAAAACATGTGTATGTTTATTCTTTCTCAGTTTTTTCCAACTTCAGGTATATTATACTTTGCTATTAAAAAGGGTCCTAAGTCTGTTTTTGGTTTCGTCTCGTCGAATTGCATTTTAATTGTGATATTAGAGTTATTTTATAAATTGAACTTAACACATTGGCTGCCACAAGGATCACCGGCGATCCTAACTATAAATAGCAGATTACAATTGTGCCATTAGGATCATTGGTGTTATTCGTGCATATTTAACTTTCAGAATTATTATATCGGTCGGCACTGTAAGGACGCTCAAATAGTTGTACCTGTGGCAAACTAGAAAGCCATAGCTTGCTTATGTTCTTTTGTTAGACGCGATAATGTCGTAAATAGCTTGTAACGACAGTTGAGAATAAGGCACTATAGAAACGATTAGTGGCTTTCATTATTACATTTTTCTACGAAATTGCTGGAAATGTTACTGCTTCGCTTCTAAGCTGAAACTGACGCTGCGTTGTACTTAGGGATGATTCGATACTACTAAATACTGATATGGTATCGATACCTTCTTTCGATACTGAGTACTCGGTATCGAATGAAACAGTATTCGATACCGAGTACTAGTATCGAATGAAAATACTAGTATCGAAACAACATTCTCTTAGTTTCATTTTTCATTTATTGTATCATTGTTAATTGTCAATTTACATAGTGTCGTGTAAATTAAATAATATTTATGATTGTTTTGATATTTTGATGTAGAAGCATGGTGTGTGAGATTAAACAATACACAATTTGTAAGAATAAACCTCATTTTTCCATTTATGTAGACTTGTAGTTTGGTTATTGTTTTGTTAATAAAATTATGTTTCTTCATTTTATTCTTTATATACTGCTAGGTACTATAATCGTTATGTATAATTGAAATAAAGTTGATTCTAATTCCACAAAGTTCATTGTTTATTTTTCCGTCATCTGTCATGTCACTCTGTCCATCATACAAGTGGTATCGTATTCTGTGGTTATGTTACGTTACGTCATATATGAGTAACGAGTACTCACAAGTATCGATACCAGGTATCGAATGAGGTATCGATACTTTGATTCGATACCGACCTGAGTACTTGGTATCGAATGCCAAGTGGTATCGATTCATCCCTAGCTGTACTACGGAGTTCATATTTGTATTTTTTACTCGCCTCCCCTCCACTGGTTTCGGCGTGAGGGGGCGTGTCGTCGTTTGTAGCTTTTTTATCGTAATTTGCGGGAAGGGTGTTTGTGGATTTTAATATATTTTTAAATATAATTAAATTATATATTTAATATATATTTTTAATATATATCTATTTTTAAACTACCGCTTCCCGATATAACCGTTGGTAGTACTGTGATGTTTTATCCAGCACCAGAGTCTGCGTTTCTTCAAACAGTATCCGATGTTCTCTGCTTCCCAAAGCGTGTTTGGCAAATATTTGTCGATATCTCCTAAACGACAATGGCTTTTATGCTCGTTTATCCTTGTGTATGTGTATCTTTTTGTGGTTCCCACATTACCATTCCACATGTGCATGATATTCGGTATACTCCGGCCATTGCTAACGGGTCGCGTTTGTTCTTCACCGATCTTAAACAGTCTTTGATTTTCTTTGTTGGCTTAAAAAAGAAACAGCATACATGCTGTAGGTCCCTTTCTTTGTCCTTTCTTCTTGAAACGTTGTTAATCGCTTTATGTATTTCTCTTCTGGTATAACCATTAGATATGAGCGCATTTTCAATATAAAGAAGTTCATTTTGCAGATGCTGTGGTTCACAAATTCTCTTCGCCCTCTCCTCCAGAGTTTTGATGATACCTTGTTTTTGGCCTGAATGATGATTTAAGTTCTGTCCTTTCTTCCTTTCGATTTACTAATACATATAGGAACGCTAGTTGTTGATCTTTCTCTGTTTCCATTGTAAATTTAATATTTGGATGTAGTGTGTTTATATAAGACAAGAAATCGTTAAGATTTTTTACTCCGTGACTCCAAATCACAAAAGTGCCATCGACGCATCCAAACCATACCCTTGGCTTGAATAATGACTCCATTACCCTCTTCTCCAGATGCTCCATGAAAAGGCTGGCTACGACCGGGCTTAGTGGTTTCCCATTGCTACTCCATCTACCTGCTGATAAATCTGGTCTTCCCATGAAAAGTAGGTGGTATGAGGTTCACCATATCCTTGGAAACTAGTCCCTCGATTAAATTCAGAACGTCTTCTAGGAAACTCTTGTAAATAGGGAAACAACATCAAAGCTAACAATAACGTCAGGTTCCTGTAAAGTTATTCCTTTGATCTTCTCGATGAAATGGGCGGAGTCTTTTACAAAAGCATCGTTTTTTTCCTATGTGTGGTTGTAAAATATTGGCCAGATATTTAGCAAGGCTGTAAGACGGAGACCCTATGGAGCTCACAATAGGGCGTAGAGGTATATCGTCTTTTTGTATTTTCGGTAAGCCATATAAACGTGGTGGGATTGCTTCGCTATTGTCTCTGACAACACTCTGGAACCTAACTCTTGGCTTTATATCCTCTGGTATGGAGGAAGATTTTATAAGACTATTGATTTTTCGTAGGGTGACTGCTGTGGGATCTTTTTTAAGTCTTTTATATACCGCAGGATCTTGAAGATTTTGTAATTGCGTTTTGTAGTTTTCATTACGACGGTGGCGTTTCCCTTGTCTGCTGGTAAAATTACAATATCTTTGTCTGCGTTTAACGATTTTATGGCACGGATTTCTTGGTGACTCAGGTTATTTTTCGGTGTCTTAGCTTTATGCAAAATTCTCGCTAATTCTGTCCTTATTTCTTCAGATTTTTCGACTGGTAAGTTGCGAATCGCAGACTCGATATTAGAAATGATATCTTCCTTGGGTAAACTTAGTGTACGCAAAATTTTCCCCTTTGGCTAGCAATGATGTTTCGGCTGGAGTTGGAGGAAAATTATTTAAAATGACACAATTACGTTTTGCCCAACAATGTAATCCTAGCTCAATACTAGTTGTTGATAAAAGTATGATTCGCTTTCGAGGAAGACTACTGTTCAAACAATACATACCTTCAAAGCGTCATCGCTCTGGCTTGAAATTGTATAAATTATGTAATTTATACTCTAAAAATGATTATGGATAACGGCAAAATGGCAAATAAAGGGCAGGATTTATCGGAAAAAATTGTACTAGATTTAGCAAAAGACTATCTACAAATAGAAAGAGTTGTAATACCCAATAATTACTACACGTATGTGCCTTTAGGCAGCCGCACAAAATATGGCCTTAAAATAAACGAGGAAAAAACCAAAATGTTAGCATCTATTCCAAATAACAGAGATAGAGCTAGAAACGCCGAACAAAACTTCAGTATAGACCAATATAATTTTGAGGTAGTAAATAAGTTTACATATTTGGGTTCTCTCATAACAAACGATAATGACACATCTGAAGAAGTTAAACGAGGGTACTGCTAGCAAACAAATGTTATTTTGGACTAAGCAAGTAGCTAAAAAACAGAAATTTAAGCCAGAAAACCAAACTAAATAATATATCGAACACTCATCCTACCAGTGCTGACATATGGGTCAGAAACATGGACCATCTTCAAAACAGACGCAAATCTGCTGCTCGTCTTCGAAAGGAAGATACTAAGAAGAATAATGGGCGCATTCTGTGAGAATGGTATTTGGAGAAGGCGATATAATTTCGAATTGTACGAGAAGTATAAAAAAATAGTAAATGGTAGAGATGTAATATCCTTCATAAAATAGGTAGGCTTAGATGGGCTGGACATGTGTCAAGAGCAAATGAAAATTACCCACCCGAACGAACTCTATTATCGGTCCCAGTGGGAAATAGGAGTAGAGGCAGACCACGACTGAGATGGAGGGGACGGTGTGGACGAGGACGCAAGGAAAATCGGCGCGGCAAATTGGCAACGGTTGGCGATGGACAGAAACGAGTGGCGAAAATAGACTGGGGAAGGTCAAGGCTCAACTAGAGCTGTAGCACCACTGAATGATGATGATGTGCCTTTAGGAAAACAATTATTAGATGCTAATAGTCACTTATTAGGGATACTACGTAAAAACAGAAAATATATTCCAGAAGGATACTTTCCGTAAAATTAAAAAAGAGAGATAATTGGAAAGGAGCATAAACGTGGTGTCCTCTTCTGACCTGTGTTCTTGACGACCAGACATGGATTCGACATGAAAGAAACGTAAACATAAGAAAGCTGGTGTAGCTATATTTAAACCTGAAGCAGTTATAGACTACAACAAAGAAAAAGATGGTGTTGACATCTCAGATCAACTCGGAAGCTATTTCTCACCTCTGGGAAAAAGTGTTCGCTGGTACCATAAAGCTACAATTGAAATTTTATTGAATACGGCTGTCATTAATAGTTTAATAATATATAATTCATTCAATCACACCAAAACAGCAAGTTATCTAATTTCGGAAAATGCTAATCTTTAGTTTAGTCAATTACAGTCCGATGCCTGAACCTATTACTACTGTAAAGCATATATTTGTTACAGTTGACGCCAAAACTACAAACAATAGGAAGAAGGGAAAACGTTGTAACCAATGTTACACCGAAACAGTTGCAACAAAAGGCAGTCTTCTTCTTCAAGTGCCGTCTTCGTTCCGAAGTTTGGCTATCATCAAAGCTATGCGTATTTTTGATGCTGCAGATCTAAACAGTTGGTAATTGGTGCAATTGTACCATTCTCTCAAGTTTTTCAACCATGAATGCCTTCTTCTTCCTATAGATCTCTTTCCCATTATCTTTCCCTGTATAATCAATTGCAGCAACTGGTATTTATCTCCCCTCATAACATGTCCCAAATATTGTAGTTTGCGCTTTTTAACAGTAAGTATCAGCTCTTTCTCTTTCC